ACAGTTGTCCCATTTATGAAATCAGAACCTAAGAGTCTAAGCAGGTTTAAATAACCTTTCTGTTAAAATAATAATGAGCTTAATAATTACACAATTTGCACAAATAAATTTAAACTCCATCATTTATGGGTATCAGATAACAGAAAGTTCAATTCTCAAATTAAAGTTATTTATAACAAGACACTACAATAATTAGACTCAATTAAGAGCTTGCTCAAATTTTACGCACTTGATTTACACTCATGTCCATAAATTAAGGATAATTCGGAGTCACGCGGAAATCGAACTCTAAAATAAATATATCACCTGTAAAATCACTACACACATCTTCAAGAATATGCAAATTTCAGGAAGTAACCAGATGACACCGATGTTACGTCCCAATGAGGAGAGTGTAAGAGAGTGATATATAAGGAATACAGGCAAAGAAGTAAAATTGTTCGCAGGCGCTTTATAAGCATTTCAGTGCAATAACCGAATAGTTATGACGCAAAGGACGCATTTGGATGACTTTTTACGTGGTAGAATTATCGGCCGTCTGGAATGTGGGCGTTCCCAACTGGAAGTATCAGACGAACTTGGAATTGCCCAGAGTGTCATCTCCAGGCTTCGGCAACGATTCCAAGATGATGGTAATGTGAGTAGATGTTACAGCACAGGTCGGCCCAGAGTTACAACGCCGAATGAGGACCGGTATTTGGCAGTTACTGCCAAAAGAAAAGGCGGAGCACAGCCTCAGACCTGTCTCGTCAGCTCTCTTCAGCCACTGGTACGACAATTTCAAGGCAGACCGTGTGCAGACGCTTAGGGCAGATTGGTCTATATGCTCGTAGACCTGTCAGATGCGTTCCACTTACTGCAACTCACTGTCGCCTGATGTTAGCCTGGAGTAGAGAGCATTCATTGTGGACACCGCAACAGTGGGCTTGTGTGATGTTTTCCGACGAGTCCAGGTTTAGCTTGAAGTCTGATTCTCGCCGGAATTTCATATGGAGAGCTCCAGGTACCCGTTCCCACCAAGAAAACATCATTGAACGACACCTTTACGGTGGTGCAGGAGTGCTCGTTTGGGGTGGAATTATTCTGGGTTCCAGAACTGACCTGTATATTCAAACTGGAACCATAACAAGCCAAATTTATCGGGACGTCTTTCTGGAACAACATGTAGGTTTGTTTCGGGGCGCCATGGACGCACAATTTGTGTTTATGGATGACAACGCCCGTTCTCACCGTGCAAACATCGTAAGCGAATGCCTCCAATCGGAGGATATCACCCGTATGGACTGGCTAGCATTCTCAGCGGACTTGTATCCAGTAGAGCACGTGTGGGACATGCTTGGCCGACGATTTGCAGCCCGTCAAATCTCCTCCTACATGTCTACCGGAACTTCGGAGAGCATTGCTTTTTGAGTGGTGTAATATCCCCAAGATCAGATCGATAATTTGATACTCAGCATGCCTAGGCGTTGTACGGACTGCATTGCATCGTCTGGGAGACATACAATGCATTAACAATCATACTAACCATGTAATATTGGTTTTTTGTAAATAGGTTTTTTTTTTTTTTTTTTTTTTTTTTTTTTTTGTAATTTACTCCATGGAGAAAAAATCGCTAATTTTTTTAATAATATCAAACATATAGCATCTTTTTTTTCTCTTTACCTTTTGTTTAATAAATAAGCTTTACAAATAAGTCAAATTTGTTTTGCTTCTAACTCTTCCTTTACCTAATTTTGCATTATCCTTACTTTATGGACATGAGTGTAATTTCGGCCAACAGAATGGCTAATGCCGGATAACTAATGTTGTACAGCCGGGCGAAAAAACAACAGTACTGAGGCTCACTACGAAACGCTCTATATCTCTAAAAAAAAACTCCAACTTAAATATGCTTAACTCATTTGCATCCAGGTGAACTAACGAAGAGGAAAGTGATAAAATGAAAATTAATTAATTAACATGCCGTACAGTAAACACTAGAGTTGTCCTCATCAGAATTTAAACTATTCGAAAACAAAGCCTTGGCCTTGAAAAAGAAAGTTTAACACGTTGAGCCTGGCACCGGTCCCTGGGGACCGGCAGTGAACTTTCCATGTGGCCGGCGTCGATCCCTAGGTACCAGCAGTGAACTTTCCGTGTGACCGGCATTGGAATTTTCGTTTGGCTGGCGTCGGTCCGCTGGACCGACAGTATTAAAGTTAAAAAATAAATATAGGCTCAAATATGATCAAATGTAGTTTTAATGAAATTGATTGATACATTCTATACAAAAATATGGCTTAGCTTTACACATATTACACTACATAACAACTTTGTTGGTAACATTTTGTTATGAATCTGGATTAAGCCGATTTTGTTACCAAGACAATCAATCGGCTGAACGGAAAGGACAGCAAATTCGGCGCCGGGCTCAACGTGTTAATTCTGAAATTAAACTTTTGATTCATGCGTTAACAAAATTATAATCTTAAATTACTTATAATCTATGCATTACATGACTATTTATGTATTACATAAACATAAGATTCTCCATAGAAAATTGATCAGACATTTTCTCTTGGTTGTCAGTTCCTTCAAGATTCCTGGAAGGAAAAAATGTTTAGCAGAATGTACAACAAAGTATTTTACAAAAAGTACCTAAGTACAAGAATAATCTTTTATATTCACTTTTTGTCAACTGTTAGTGATAACTTTGTATCATTGATTGCGCCATTAGAGCAATTTCTGCTTCCTGTCCCAATTCCTACATGGTTAGGCCACTTGGTGACATCAAACCTTAACGACGCGCGTATTTCAACATCTGTGCCTAATGTTCTGCACTTCATGTAAACGTTAACAATGTTTATTGGAAGGTTAAAGAAATATATAAAACTCCTTTACTTCGTTGAGTTTTAGACAAAAGTAACTTTATGAAATAAAACTTTAGACAGTGGCTCTTCATCAATACATGAATGACTAATTGAAGTAATTATAGTTAGCTTTAAGGTAAAAAATATGCACATAAAGCAGAAATTGTTCTAAAACACTTTTTCCTATTGTTTATTAATTTTTTAATGACTGCTTCCTTTTTTCAAATGTGATATTTAGTTTAGTAATCCTATAAATCCTTCATACACTTAAAAAAAATACTTTTTTACATTAATTAAAGCAATTATGTTAAGGGAAGTTAATACATCATTAAAAAAATTTTATGGTGTTTTATCCCAAGAAAAATTCACTCTCTAAAATCGAAATATGCAACTAGGAATTTTTAATTATCATTCAATAAAATCATAAAGTAAATTAGATATATATAAGATCCTTTTCTGGGATATCATATTCTTATGTTCCAAGGCAATCTGCAATAATCTGATTAAAATTAGTGTTCTGCTTTTGGATAAACGTTTCAAAGAGGGCATCGAACTAATAAAGCGTCATGCGAAAGTAATTAAAAGAAATTTCGATGTCTTTCAAGAGCATTTCTTCAATTAAATTTTTTGTTTCTCCTTACTGCCATCACCTCTCACATATTAATATAAACCACTGCTTTCTGATTCTCTTACATAAAGCAAAAAGTAAAATAAGTTTTAATTTAGCAGAAATTTGATCCACTTTAATTAAAAAGTATAACCGTAAAAAGCCGAAATACGACATAAAAATTAACGTTTTCCACGAAATTTTCCGATATGCACAGCACACTGGTGTTGTTGCTTATCCTCGAAAGATCTGACATATGTCAGATCAGCTCCAGAAGGTTGTAGACCACCAAAAATTCAATAACAGTGAGGGAATCGGATGTTAAGTCCTCCTTAGAAAGTCCAATGCAACCCAGTATGTAAATCCGGTGAAGCTGGATGATCACAACATTTTTTACAATCAGGGTGAATTTTTTTTGCCACTATCAAAGGAAAGACATTTTAAGGTGGCCACTTGTTAGTCTAGCCAGAGCAGTCTGGGAGACACACATTTGATTTCCAGTAGGGGAGCCAGGGGATGTTCCTGTTGCGTAGGTGGAATACGCCATATTATATTTAGGTCTTTCATTTGAATAAAGTTCTTGGTAAATAAGTGAGGAGCCAGTGACCGTTTCATTTTCACTACCCTCTTGTTCAAAAATTCTCACCAAATTTGTTACCTCAAGAACTATTTATTACTCGAAAATAACTATCTATATCTCTTTAGTTATTTAAGACTCTACAATAATTAAATAGTTCTTTTATTCATACTCTCAAATGATGAAAACAAAAGTTACACTTAACTCTCTAAAAAAGAACAACATCATTGAATGTTGCCATTCTCTGAAACATAAACTGTTACAAAACATAGATAATAATAATACGAATAGATAATGAATAAAAACACCTATAGAGTAAAAAGAAAACGATTACATCTGCTTGAAGCTCGTGTAATATTACTCAAAAGCTGCAGTTACAAAAAAATATAAACAAAAATATTAGAGTCAAAATATTGTTCATCCTCCCACCTTGCAATATGAAATTCGGGATTGAGTATTGCAAAATAATAAAAAATTAAGCATTGTTCTCACAAGTCCAATCGATGAGGAACTCTAATTGTCCTTCCTGATTTGGTTATCTTAGGCGATTTTAAATGGGTATGGATTATTCTATTTGTTTCTACAGGTACATCATCAATTGGAGTTTGCTCTACCTACCGAAATATTTTCGCATCGTTCACTTCCGCTGAATTTCGATGGCAGTTCCTCGGCAGTCGATAATTCCAAAGGATAAAGATTTTGTACAGCTCTTATGACTTCTCCATTTTGCACTTTAATTCTCGCTCGTCGACTTTCACCATCGGTACCTGGAAATAATTGTATGATTTTACCAAGAGGCCAATTTAATCTCCTTTTGGCATCGCTTCCAATTAAGACAATGTCTCCTTCTTTTAATTTACAACTTCTAGCGAATTTTTTGCTTGTTGTTTTCAAAGTTCCCAGATATTCCTGGCGAAATCTTTTCTTGAAAACCTGGTTAACATTTTGGATATAACGCAATCTACGTTTATAAAAGCTTAGAATTGAAGTCATGTTTCACAATTGGCACTGAATAGTTTTGTATTTCTCGTAAAAAATTTCCAGGTGTTATGGAAGTGAGACTTGAATCAGCCGATACAACTGTTAAAGGTCTATCATTTAGGATAGCTTCACAGTTACATAAAACGGTACACATTTCCTCATAACTAAGGCAGGCTCTCCCAAGAACTTTTCTTAATATTCTTTTCATCATTCCTATGAGGCGTTCCCACCAGCCACCCCACCATGGAGCGCCTGGGGGAATGAACTTCCAAATAATACGTTCATTAGCTCCTTTTTTTGCAATTTCATTGAAATCGATTGAAGCAAGTGCATTGCATGCTCCAACAAAATTTGTTCCATTATCAGTATAAATTATGGATGGCTTCCCACGTCTAGCAGAAAAACGATGAAACGCTTGTAGAAATGTATCTGTCGTTAAGGATGTAACCAGTTCCAAATGAACACAACGGTACACTGCGCAAGTGAATAGGCAAATCCATGCCTTCTTGTAGTCTCTTAGAAATATAGGTCCAGCATAATCTATGCCAGTTATTTGAAATACACTGAGGCATCCTGTACCCGATCTCTAGGAAGTGGTGGCGCTGGTGGGTTAACATTTTTGTTTGAATAACGCTTACAGGTTATACAAGTTTTCAAAACGGATGACACAACTCTTCTTCCAGCTAATATCCAAAATCTTTCTCTTAAGGAATTTAGGACGTGAGAAACTCCAACATGTCCTTTCAACTTATGTTCTTCCATTATTAAACTTCTTATAAGAGGATGATCACTTGGCAAAATAGCAGGAGTTCTGAACTCAGATGTATCTTCTCTTTGAAATATTGCGCTGTTTTAGTTCTGATGATCCCACAATCAATGAATGGATTAAGACTTAAAATCCGTTTATCTTCTATTCCATTAAAGGACTCATTTTGTATTAAACGAATCAAGATATTCTCTGCTTGCTTCATTTAACTCAGATACAGTAAGTTCATCCTTTTTCTTGTTTTGATGTTTACAGTTGTAAACAAAACGACACATCCACGCTACCAGTCTGATTGTCTTACGATAACTTGAGAATCTAGTAGCAACTATTTCACTAGCATTAAGATTTATTAAGGACGAAATAATCCTTTTCTTTTTCTCAAGAGCTATTTCTTCTTCATCAGCACTAAAATCTTCTTTTGGCCATTTTTCTGGTGATAAATATAGCCATTTAGGTCCTTCCCACCATCTAGGATTTAATTAAATAAGAAGCAGAGCATCCTCTACTGGGCAAATCAGCAGGATTCAGTGATCCTGGTACGTGCCTCCAAGATTCAATAGAAGTCAGTTGCTTTATTTCCTTAATTCTGTTGTGAACAAATACGTCCCATACTTCATTTCTCTGTATCCAAGCTAGCACAGTAGACGAATCTGTCCAAAAATAAATATCATCAGCTTGAAATTCAGGTATTATGCTGGATGCTAAACGTGCACATATTGTAGCTCCAAGAAGTTCCAATCGAGCTATTGTTGTCTTTTTCCTTCCGCTGGGTGCAACTCTCGCTTTAGCTTGCACCAAATGAACTTGAACCGAATCTCTTGTTTGTACTCGAACAAAGGCCACAGCTGAATATGCAAGTTTACTCGCATCACTGAAGAAATGAAGTGAGATATTTTCAATCTCACGATCACACAGTTTAACCATCTTGGTATTCTCATTCTTTCCAGACACTGCAAATCATTCAACCATTTACAAAATTGTGATTTTGAATTTGAATCAACTTCTTGGTCCCAAGATAACTTAACTTCCCATAGGTGCTGAAGTAAAAGTTTCGGCACAAGAGTTACGGGGCAAGCTATTCCTAAAGGGTCGAATATTTTGTGTGTAGTAGCTAAAATCTCTCTTTTAGACAAAATTTCTGGTAGACTTGTAGGTGATGTTAGTAATATTAAGGCAAAGGTAATCTCCACATCGTTCCCAAATCATTCCTAATACATTTGTGGTACTAGAGGAATTATCTGTTGGGTCACTATATTCCCAACCACGTAATTCTAGCTTTCTTGTAGCTAAAGTATCTGAAGCAACTTGTATGAATTGTTGCAATTCTAAATCATTTTTCACACTCGCTAAACAATTATCTACATAAAAGCTCTTCTTCAATTGCTCAATAATATCCACTTTATACTTTGGGTTTCCATTTAGTTGTTTCAAAGTGGATTCTAGAAGATGGTGAATTACAGAAACTAGCAAGAAAGGGCTGCTTGTAACTCCAAATACTACCCTACAATGCCTGTAATACTTCAGTTTTCCATCAGTTCTATACCATAAGAATCTTAGATAGTCTTTATCCTTAGGGTTGAGACTTATTTGTAAGAATGCTTTTCGTATATCTGCAGAAACTCCTATTCTGTTCATTCGGAATCTATGAAGAATTGAAGGAATCAGTTCGATAAGGTTCTGACCTTTTTCTAGACAATCATTGAGACTAGGGGATCCTTTTTGTTTGGCCGAGGCATCAAACACTGGCCTGATTCGTGTAGTACTGTTTTCTTTTACTACGTGTCGATGTGGTAGATAATGGCATGTTACATCAATTTCGCTTTTTGGTACTTCTTCTATGATGCCTTCTTGTTCCCATTCACTAAAAACTTCTCCATAAGCATCATAAAGTTTCTCAGCTTTTAGTCGTTTTACTGTAGAAGCTAATCTCTTTACAGCTAAGTCATAGTTATCTTTTAACGGTAGATGGTTATCAAGCCATGGCAAGCTGACTTGAAAACGCCCCTCTTCGTTCACCTTTACAGTAGACAAGAAATGATCTCTTGCTTCTTCTTGAAGTTCCAGTTTACTTTTCTTCTCTGATGGGATCTAGAATTCCAAGTGAATCTAGAGACCATAGATCGGATATCAATATTTCCTTATTCAACATGGATGTGACGAGCAGTGCGGAATTGTCCGAGATCTCACGCATACCATTTTTCCCGAAAAGAGTCCAACCAAGTTTAGTTTTTCTATAGCAGCAAGGCCTGAAGTAAGCAATTTAAATCCTCCGGTCATCAACTTGCCTGCAATGTCAGCGCCAATAAGTATTTCTATTGGTCCATTACTATCGTCGCATACGGATAATATTGTTCTCTTTAAGCTCTTGAATCCACTCGCCATTAGCAACTGGTGGTATACTTCCACAAATAATATCTTGGCTAAGAGCTTTGAAGTTACAATGATAAGTTCCATCCGTTTTAGACAAGAACACTGTAAAAACATCGTGGTTTATGACATCAGTACATGACCCGCCAAATAATGAATGGCTCAATCTTTCTTTAGATGTACTCTCAAATTTCATTTCATCTGCAGTGCTTTTTAAAATATAAGATCTCTGTGAAGCTGAATCGATAATAGCACGGGCCTGGCGCTTTCTATCTCGCCCTTTCAATGTAACCGTTAAAGTTTGCAAAAACACATTTGTTGTTCTCGCCAAATTGGCGAGGGTTTCATCTCGTTCAGGTACTGCATCCGTATTTTCATCCTTATTCATGCTAACAGGAACTGGAGATTTTGATTCAGCTTGGATATTTCTACATAAAAGTATGTGGTGTTTCTTCCCACAAATCACACACGATGTTCGTTTTTTACATTTAGCTATTACATGTTTTCTGTCTAAACATAAAAAGCAACTGCGACTATTTAGAACTGCTTTTTGCCTTTCCTCAGACGTCATCTTTCTTGCTTTAACGCAATCACCAGATGCATGATTTCCAGCACAAAAAATACATCCAGTTGAATTTTGTTCAGATGTTGCTATTAGAGTAGAAGCAGAAGGTGTTTTGGAAAATTCTCCACGGTTTTTGAAACCAAAGTGTAAATGTTTAGCATTCCCAGGTTTAGGAGTCTGATATTTAGTAAAGCACTGAGTAGCTATAGATACTCTCTCTCTTTACCTTCAATTTCATCGAGCAAAAATGAAAGCAAACCATCTAAATCCATGCGATGTGTTGACGCATTTTTCTCTTTTTGCTCACTACTTTCAGATTCTCTCTGACTGCGATTAATAACTCGGAATCTTTGCCATGCTCTTAATGTATCATCCGGCAATGACGATTCGACTAGAGGATATAACATCGCCGCATATTTATCTCTAGCAACACCCAGAACTTCTAACGCTCTTAGTTTCGATTCTAAGTTATCATAGAGTTTTCGTAATGAAAATTTCTGCTGAGAGTTTTTTAATAATACTAACGAAAGTAGATCTCTAACATAGACTTCTATAAGAAGGTCTTCTTTCCCAAAACGCGATTGCAGTTGTTCTAAAGCTTTACTATAACTTTCGCCACCGGGCGGAAAGCTTTTGATTAACTCTTCAGCAGATGACCCTTTTTCCATAGACTGCAATAAATATGCAAATTTATCATGATCATCTAAATTGGGATCATTATCGATCTTTTTAAACTGGCCCCAAAATCCTAACCAGCTTTTAATATTCCCATCAAAAATCGGAAGTTTAAGCTTAGGATAACGTAATAGTAGCATTTTGAGTTAAGCTTTCATTAACAACAGAACCGTTTTCCTTTTCAGCTAAAAGCGAAACTAATTTACTTTCTACCATTCTCCACTTATCAATATAGCATTTCGACTCATCAAACTCGTTATTTATCACAGTTTCATTTTTTTCAATTTTAATCAATTCTTCTCTATAAGTCTGTTCTATTTCAATCATAGGTTTTGCTTTGTCCTCAACTAATTTAAGTTTCGAAATTTTTCCGTCTAAAGATAAATCATTTTCATTCTTCTCAAAATCATTTAAAGCTTTTGTAAACAATCTCCTAAATTGAGATCGTTTGCACTTCAAAACATCCATTATAAATAAACGAAAGAATTCTACTTACAGATAACAGTCCAGTCAGCGGACGCCAAATGTTCAAAAAATTCTCACCAAATTTGTTACCTCAAGAACTATTTATTACTCGAAAATAACTATCTATATCTCTTTAGTTGTTTATGACTCTACAATAATTAAATAGTTCTTTTATTTTTATTCATACTCTCAAATGAGGAAAACAAAAGTTACACTTAACTCTCTAAAAAAGAACAACATCATAGTATGTTGCCATTCTCTGAAACATAAACTGTTTACAAAACATAGATAATAATAATATGAATAGATAATGAATAAAAAAACCTATAGAGTAAAAGAAAACGATTACATCTGCTTGAAGCTCGTGCAATATTACTCAGAAGCTGCTGCAGTTAGAAAAAATATAAACAAAAATATTAGAGTCAAAATATTGTTCACTTTTTCTTTATTGACTTTTACCACTAATTTAAAATATGATCCACTGGAGGTGGACGTCGTGGGTCTGAGATATCTTCCTCAGTTTGAGCAGAATAGATATGCTGTTTCATAGTTTGATGTTGTAGTGCACTGCGGCTGTCCGATAAAATCCATAGTTCTCCAAAATCCCAATCATAAGACAAGATAGCATCAAAGCCCCGCACTGATCGCAATTAACTCGCTCCTGAAGACAGAGCAAGTGCCAGGGTTGCGTTGCTTTATTATAGTTTCAAAGTGACGGATCTTAATAAAGATACCGCTGCCAGTGCGATCTTCTGTACGGCTGCCATCAGTATAGACCTGCACTGCATTTTTAGGAATGCAACTAATAATTTCCAGAGCCAGTTGCCTAAGAAGGTCTTCATGGTGAGTTTGCTTGTTTGCAGTGGATTTCAGATCAAAGTGGAAGAAAACTCTTGGTATACTGAGGGATCAATAAAGGATCTTAGAGGTAAAACCTCTTGAGAGATCAGGTTCTGAGTTTTTGCCAAGCTAAAAGGCTGTATTTCTTGAGTCTTTGATTGTTGTGCCAAGTGTGGAGACACAAGGAAGTACGATGTTGGGAAGCCGTAGCTGTATATTTTAATGAAATACTTAACTAAATTGGCTCTTATTTTTATATGCAGTGGCTGTAAGTTGGTTTCGAACAAGGCTATTCGAGCGGCACTCAGCTGCATACGTTCTAATTTCTGCAGATTGGTTTCAGACGCGTAGGAATAAATTGGGTAGCCATATTCTAGAATAGGTCTTATTAGCGCAATATATGTGGTTCTAAGAGTGTTTGCATCAGCTTCCCAATCTCTGCCAACTAGGTACTTAAGGATGTTTAGGCGCTTACGGACCTTCGAAACCAAATAGTCTATATCTCTGTTGCTTCTGAATTCAGGATCAAGGATGAGCCCTAGGTATTTGGGATGTCTTTCATATGTGAGGAGCTGAGCTTCGAAAAACAACTTTGGCTTGTAGTTATATAGGTGTTTATTAGTAGTAAAAAAAGGTCACTATTGATTTAGCTAGATTGAAAGTCAATTTATGTTCTGTTGCAAACACAGAAGGTGCTACCAAAGTGGTGTCAAGGTAGAATAGGACTTAAGATTGATCCCTGAGGAACGCCCGGTCTCAGTCTAAAAGGATCTGAGTAGGTCTTGTTAAATTTAACTCTAATGGATCTGTGATGCAGAAAATCAGCTATCCAAACCAAAGCAGAATCCCTAATGTTGAAAGTGTCATTGAATTAACGGTAAGTTTGTCCTTCCAGACAGTATCAAAGGCCTTAGATAAGTCCAGCAAAACCGCCACGGAATGTCGAGTTGGTTTAAGGTTTTCGGCGTCCTTGATCTTTTGGCAAAAGTAAAGGATTCGATTTGTGGTACTATGCTCTTTTCTTAAAACCGTATTGTTCAGTCCCCCTCACGTTCTGCAGGTTGCCTCAAAGTGTGCTCTTAGTCGGCGAGTGGGTGTACCTGGGGCGAAATGGGCGAAGTAAGTCGGGAGAGTAATCTCCTGGAAGGTCCACCGTATGCTCAGCTAAGACCTGCATGCATTGGAGCAAAGACAAACTTCTTCCCTTGGACTTCGCCAAGGAGGCTCCAGTCTTTTTGACGAACAGAAGCTGCTCACTTCCTTCCCCTTTTGGTTTTGTTTATTACCGCACACTGATGTAAATTGACCTAACGCGGAAACTGGTGTGAACTGACGAACGCATAAAGCATCTTTTCCCGGCTTTCACTTTTTGCTCCAACGGTGAACAGTGTGACGCAGTATGAACGCTCCAACAGTGTAAACGCAGCTTAAGGGTACCCATCGCATTTAACAAGAACACTACAAGAAAACTGCTGCTTCTCCCCTTTCCATTACTACAGTTATATTGTATGCTCTGTGTTATACAGAAAACTGTGAAGAGGTTGATAGAGAAAACCATTCTTTTGAAAAGGGTAGATGCAAGGTGTGTGTATTTAATTATGGCAAAGCACACTAGGGCTATCTGCCTAAGGGAAGGGATGCCTTCGTGGAGGACTTTCTAAGGGAAACTGGCTCGTATACACGTTACACATGGGCAAAACCACGAAAACACCCATGCAGCCAGCCCGTTCGCGGGATTCGAACCTCGAACAGAATTACCAGTGTTCAGCGACTTTACCGCTCGACGGCTGGTGGGCGGGTAGATGGAAAAAAAAAAAAAAAAAAGATTGAGAATCCGTTGTTCAGACAATGAGTGAGTGACGGAGGACGTAGGTACCATCCCTCTATCTTATTCGTTAATTGGTATAGCGCCACGTGCACCCTTATCTAAAGCAACTTTGGTACATTTAGGTACACATTGTGAGTGCTTAGTACACATTACTAAGGACTTAACACACATTACTAAGGAAAGTAAGTGCTTAGTAATGTGCTTAGTACACATTACTAAGGAAAGTAAAAGCACATTACTAAGGAAAGTAAAAACGTGCTTAATTATAATTACTATACATTACTGAACAGATTTCTGAATGCTTGGTATACATTACTTGGGATTGAAACATTGGTACACATTTACATTTATAGAACGTTGGCACACATTTACATTTATAGAACGTTGGCACACATTTACATTTATAGAACGTTGGCACACATTTTACATTTAGTTACTCATAATTTAAGATACACATTATTATTTATGAGTTTCATAACTTGGCACACATTACTGAACGTATTGCTGAATGCTTAGTACACATTACTGAGGATTTGAAAATAAACACTTGCTTAATTATAATTATACATTACTGAAAATATTATTGAATGCTTAGTGAACATTACTTGGACTGAAAGTAAACACCTGCTTAATTATAATTCTTATATATTACTGAACACATTGCTGAATGTTTGGTGCACATTGCTGAGGATATGAAATTGAACACTTGCTTAATTATAATTGTGCTATTTACACAGATAGGTGCACCGATTCGTTTGGAGACCTATTTTTATGCGTACAGCTATCTATGGATTTAAATTTATACACTTGCGAGAGTTTAGTAAAATCCTGCATATACTTCGTTGTGCACCTGGTTATTGGGTGAATACGGAAGCATAGTACATTCCTTAATACACGTTACTGTATTGAATACTTAGTACACATCGCTGGAGATTTGAAAATTGTGCGCTTGGTAATTTAAGTTAATGCTGTATGCACATTGTTGTGCACCTATTATTTGGACTCTTATGTAAGCGTAGTACATTCTTTGGTACACATTGTTGAGCGCATTATTGAATATTTAGTACATATATTACTAAAGATTAAAAAATAAACACTCACTGTATAGTATTAATGCTATATACACATTGCTGCGCTTGTTGGTACATTATATTAGTGTATTATTCGCATTGTTGCATCTGCTGATATACATTACAGAGTACATATTCAGTACCTAGTATTAGTTGCTTGTTACTCTTGCAGTATTGCAGAACATATTTTGGAGTACTTAGTGCTCATCGCTGGAGGTTGAAGATGTACTAACTATTTAATATAACTGCTACACACTTGTGAACCTATTCGGTGGATGTTTATGTAACCATAGTTCATTCCTTGGTATATATTACTGGACGCATTGTGTCTTCAGTTCTGTATAAATGACCTAACCATCGAATCCTGTGGCTTTTTATGACTTTGACGATATCAGACTATCTAAATTTTTGGTAGATTTCATGATTATACATTGATCTACAATCATCATTTTCACAAAAAGCGCCAAATATTTTCTTTAGTATTGTTGCGTGCGTACGGGTTCGTTATGTAATGAATGCACAAGTCCGATGAAAAATGAACAAAAATTTATTATTATCACAAAAAAATGCTTAAATTTTCTCAAATTATCATGCAGTATTACAATATCTCACAGTAGTTATCTTTTAACTACTCAAATGTCCAATAGAACGTAATCCAAAACAGCTAAGGAACGCTAATCCGCGAATTCGCTACAATCAACAACAGTAGTTTTCTAAACAACAACAAACTAAGCAACTACTACAAACTGAGATGTTTTCCTCCTTTTATAAGATTTTAAAATCACGCGCTAGAATTTTCCAGTACTTTCTCGAAATCAAAAAGAGATATTTATTTATTTAATGCACGCGCTCTTGTATTTTCAATTTTCCGGCTTAGCTTTCTTTTAATATTCGTCACGCGCTGCACTGCGCGAGAAATAAAACCATTTAATTTGTA